TTAAGTGCAGAGCCAGAGGTAGTGGTGCACACCTTTAATCCCAGCACGCAGATCTGTGAGTTCCAGGGAGACCCTGTCTCATTGACAAGGTAAACAGGGCAGGACTACAGAAAGCCTGGCAGGTGCTCAAACTGCTAAGCAGAGTTGCCATGTGACCCAGCTATTCCATTCCTTAAAGATGTCCAAGGTATGGTGAGTGAGATGATTTCGCTAGTAAAAATACTGTCAGGTTTGATCACTTGAATTCCATCCCTGGGTCCTACACAGTGTAAACAACAATCCCAAGTTGTCATCTGATCCCCCACACACAAGAAATTAATGTTACAAAAGGGGGGCGGGGATTGGCTGGATGGCTGGAGAGAGATGGCTCAGCGATTAAGAGCACTGGCTGTTCTTACAGAAGACCCAGGTTTGAATCCCAACACCCACATGCCAACTAACAAGCATCTGTAACTCCAGTTCCAGGGGATCTGATGCCCTTTTCTATCCACTATGGGCACTGCACAAAATGGGTGCACTCACATACAAGCCTAACAACATTCACACACATAAAATTCAAAAAAAAAAAAAAAAAAAAAAAAAAAAAGAAACATTTATGCAGACCATTCATTTGGACTAAGCTCTTGCATTGGGACCCAGCAGACCAGACTAAAAATCAAAATGCTAAAACTTTTCACACTGTCAAACTAACAACCGTCTTAACTCCAGTTTCAAGGGATTCAAGAGCCTCTTCTGTCCTCCTCTGGCATTGTACGACTCAGGCGCACTTACCTACATGCAGGCAATACACTCATAAAGTAAAAATAGTGAGTTCCAGGCCAGATGGGGCTACAGGGTGACCAAACAAAAGCGCCAAGCTGGGAGCGGTGGCATGCACCTTTAATTCAACACTTGGGAGGCAGAGGTAGGTGGAGCTGTGAGTTCAATGCCAGCCTGGTCTACACAGTGAGTTCCAGGCAGGTTGGGGCTAGATGGACATGTTTTTTTTTCTTCATCTTTTTTGAGATAAGGTCTCCCTGTAGCTCCAACATAGAGGACACTAGGCTAAGTCAAGAAACCAGTCGCTGAAGGTCATATACTGTATGACTACATAAAGCATCCCAGTTGCACATGGGGGCATGCCCCTGTAATTGTAGCATTTGTGAGGTAGAAGCCAGTGGATCTCTAGATAGTGAGGCCATCTCCAAAAAAGAAAAAAAAATCTCAGAATTAAGAAAAAGGACCCCACAGAAGCAAAAGTAGATTCACTACTGCAGCAGCTGGAAGGGAGAACAGAGTGACAGAGTAGTCTACTAAGGTGGGTGCACTAAAAGATGAAAATGACCTGAATGAGAATAGTGGTAATATCCACTATATAGTAATTATCCAATGCTATAAATATACTAACAAGCTAGGAAATACTTATTTCTAAAGGAATACAAGAAATATAAAATATGAATCTCAGAAAAACTCTAAGAAAGGAAAGCCCAGTCTGAGGTTCTGCCTTAAACTGCATCTTTCTGCCCTCAGCCTCTACAGTGCTAGGACTATAGGTATGAATCACCATCGTCACTGTTTGATAAAGTACGCCACAGACCCTGGGAGAAACATACCGCTACTTACAATGATTTCTCAGAAGGCAAATGTGATTTTGCACACTCAGTAACACAGCATCTTTGAGCACTTACTTTTATGTGCTGTGACCTCTGGGCCGCATCCATTGGGTGTAGGACCTGCAGCCCACACATGTCACAGGAGTCTCCATGGAGATACACACAGTTTTCCCCATAGCGACACTCTCCCACTGCAGCATAGGGGCAAAGCTGTTTCTTTGTCTCCACCGTGGTTTGCTCCTTCTCCGACTCTTCCTTGGCCACAGAGCCCTGCAGGGGTACTTCAGTGCAGGAAGGGGCAGCTACAAATGTTTTAAGAATATGGTAAAGGTCTCAGTATATAAGGCAGAAACATGAAATGTAAAGGTAACCTAGAACCTAACTGAAAAAATAATCAAAACAACTTTAAACCCAAGAGATAGCCTGTTAAAATTTTCACTTTTAGCTGGGCATGGCAGTGCATGCCTTAGTCCCAGCGCTAGGGAGGCAGAAGCAAGCAGATCTCTGTGAATTTGAGGCCAGCCTGGTCTCCATAGTGAATCCAGGACAGCTGCAGCTACAGGAAGACCCTGTCTCAAAAAGACCAAAAAGGAAAAAAAAAATTAACTTTTTCCCCAGTTGAGTTGAGTCTGTAACCTATAGCTTCAGCTAGCCTGGAACTTGCTCTATAGACCATGCTGGTCTCAAACTCAAGAGATCTGCCAGCCTCACCCTCTGGGACTAAAGGTGTGTGTCACTGTGCCTGGCTCCCCCTTGGGTTTGAGACAGGGTAGCCCAGGATGGCTTAGAATTTGCCACCTGCCTACCTCAGACTATCCAGTAATGGATTTACAGGTATACATCATCACTCCCCAGCTGTTTCTCACTTTTTCAATTATGTGTACATATGGAGGGGTTCAGCACATGAGCCCAAAGAAACTAGAAGAGGGCATCAAATCCCGCCCCCCCTAGAATTATTATTAATAGCTGGTTGTGAGCCTCCCATCATGGGTGCTGGGAACTGAACACAGTCCTTCCCTCTGGAAGAGCAGGAAGTCTCTCCAGCCTGTTTTGGGTTGACACTAACTTTATAATATAATAGGCCTTAACACAAATGACAGAATGCATGAACTCCAGTGTGGGGGCTATGGGAGATCCCAAAAGGGAAGGAGGAAGGGGTATAAAGATGAAATACACAAAACCAATAAAAAATTTTTAAAAAGATCTCACTGTGCAGCCCAGGCTGGTCTTGAACTTACTGATCATCCCATCTCAGTGGCTCCAAAGCTGGAATTACATCAAGCCCAGCTCTCTATTTGAGTATCTTGTGCAACTGAAATTTAATCTTACTATTGATTAGGGAAACTGGAGCTACTTGATGAGTTTGAGGTTGGCCTGAGCAAGAGACCCAGTCTCTCTCAAAACAAAACAAAACAAAAAAACAAAACCACTAAACAAACAAACAAAAACCCCAAAGGATTATTTGGGGGCTGACTGTGTAGCTCGGTGGTAAAGCACTTGCCTAGCAAGTTCAAACCCTGGATTTGACCCTAGCACCAAAGGTGGTAGGGGAGGGGCAATCACATATGGGATGATTCTGGATTTTCTTAAACATCCTTAATTCATTACTATTGGGGCTCAAAAAGTAGCTTCTATTCACCCAAGTCTTAAGTAACCCAATTTAAAGTGTTGATATCAGGCTAAATGACTGGGAGCAGAAAGACTCAGCTCACTGATGGACTGTCATTTAGCCCTGTAACAGTATTTTACAGGATCCTCAGAATACTTACTACGGCCACAGTAGGGCTGCCCAGGAACAAATTCAATGGCATTCACCCAGTCCTCTGACCCTGCTCCGATAGTTGGGAGCTTTGGGTTTCTTGACTCAGCTTCTTCTGGATTCATTTCAGCAAGTGAACCAGCTCCAGATGAGACACTGGAGGAAGCTGCAAGGGATGGTTTTGCACTCAGATCTGCAGCAGTCACTTCTTCTTGCTTCAATGGCTTACTGTGTTCATACCTGATAAAGAAAGAAAAAAGGAAGTAAGCAGTTACAAACTATCCAGCTACATCTAGCTCCTGGACCCTTACAGCTTCAAGGGTTGGGTTTTGTTTGGTTTGAGATAGGGTCTGGCTCTGGAACCCAGGCTGGACTCACACTCATTAGGAAGTCCAGGATAGCCTTAAATGTGTGGCAATCTTACCGCAGTACCTTCCCAAATGCTTCAATTAAAGGCATGAGACCATACCTGGCCTTTATTGTTTCTTCTTGTAGCTGTGATTAAATCCATGGGCTTGTGCATCTAGGCAAGTACAGGCCCAGATACCTACTTTCTAGGTCTGGAATAGAGCCCATGAGTCTTTGTATACAGCAAGCCACAGTGTGATGCCAATACTGCTGATCAAGGCCAAAGACCATGAGTCAGCAAACTTGCAACTTAGGAGATTCTCTTTAAGAGGGGGCTGAGGAGATGGCTCTGCTGTTAAGGGTAACAGTTGCTTTTGCAGAAGACCCAGGTTTGGTTCCCAGTACCCACATGGCAGCTAACAACTATCCATAACTCCAGTCCCAGGGGGTCTGACAGCCTCTTCTGACCTCCAAGGGCATTGTACAACACGGGTGCACTTACCTACATGCAGGCAATACACGCACACACATAAATTTTTTTTAAAAGTTTAAAAAAAAAAAAAGGCCAAGTGTAGTAGGGTACATGCTTTTAGCCCCAGCACTCAGGAGGCAGAGGTAGGCGGATCCCTGTGAGTTTAAGGCCAGCCTGGTCTTACAGTCTATACAGTGAGTTCTTGGCCAGCTGGGGTTATATAGGGAGACCCTATCTCAAAAAGACCAAAAAATAAAAGTCAGGCCTCTCACTTGAAAATGTGGACATGGACTGGCACACCACATATAGTCCTGTGCCCAAATTCAAAAAAGAACAATTATGCCACTTTAAAATGGCTAAAAAAGAACTCATCATTTAATGACACATGAAAGTTGTATAAAATTCAAACTATCGTGGCCCAAAATAAAGCTGCAATTAGAACACTGCATATACATTAGTTATGTGTTGTCTGTGGCTGGTTTTGCATATAGAAACCATACACCCTGAGTCATCAAGATGTATTCTCTCAACCTGTACAGAATGTTTGCCAACCCAGTCTGTGCAATTCTCGCATCCACTGGATCCAAGGGCCTTGACTTTGTTATTACAGTTACTAAATAATTTGACAAAATTGCTGATCCTTTCAGTTTAAGTGTTAAGTGATGAATTCAAGCTGAGAAAACAACTGAATAGAGCTTTTCTTCCATTTACTTATTAGTATAACTTTCAAACTAAAATTAATTTAATGAAGGCTATAAAGATACTCAGCACGTGAAGGTGCGTGCCACCCTGGGACCCACCCGATGAAGGAAAAAGCTGACTCCTGCAACTTGTCCTGACTTCCACATGAGTGGGTGCACACAAACAACCGCAATGAAAAAGTCTAAGAAGTTGCTAGGCATGGTGGCATACACTTTGAATCCTGTAGAGGAAGGCAGGTGGATCTGTGAGTTTAAGGGAGAGTCAAATAAGCCAGGGCTACAGCGAGACTATCTCAAAATACTTAAGTTTTATGGGATCCTTTAGTAGACAAATGGGGCAAATTCCTCCAAAGGGAACTCAGAAATAAAGAGTGGAATTTTCAGGACACCTGGGCAGACCAAGGATGTGGTGGCATTCACCCCCTTAAAAGGTTGAGACAAAGCAACAAGTTCAGGCTAGTCTAGGCAACTTAAGGAAACTGTCTCAAAATAAAAAGGGTAGAGGATATATGTAATACAGTGGCAGAGTACATACTTAACATGCCAAGACCCTCAATCCCCAGAATTGCCCTCACCTCCCTCCCCAATCCATACAGAGTAACAGTCAAGAGTTGGTTTAAGACCTTTGGAATAACTTTAAATGAAAAAAATACAGCTGGATGTGGTGGTGGATGCCTTTAATCCTAGTACTTGGGAGGCAGAGGAAGGTAGATCTCTGTGAGTTGCAGGCCAGCTGAGGCTACAGGGAGACCCTGTCTAAAAAAGACCGAAAAAAAAAAAAAAAAAAAAGGAAAGAAAGGAAGAAAGATAAAGCTAGAGGTTTCAGGGGAAGCCATAAGATTCTTTGGCTAGTCCACAATCAAGCTTTTAGTAATCAATCACCTATATTGGTAAAATCATCATCCAACTTTTTGTCAGACTTTTACAGGTTTCCCTAATACCAGTTCATTTTATCTCAAGAGCTCTAAATCCAGGTCAAATCAGGATTATTTGAGGAAAGAATGACAAAACAAGGGCACTGCATCCTTATTAATCCTTATTAAAATTCCTTAAATGAGTATTCCGTGCATCTGCCCAAATGTCAGTCTTGCTGAAACAAGGGCAAGCCCATCTCACTTTCTAGACTCAAACCTTGCATCCTCTCCATGAGGTTTGAAAAAGAAAATGGTTGCCACGTACAGGTCTTTTAAAGCTTGACAAAGATCTCTTCAATGTCCCATTCATCATTCAAGCTATCAATGCTCACGAGTCCCTCTTCTGAAAATAGCCCATCTGTTCATGAGCTGTTCATTTGCCTATTCTGTCTTAGTTAACTCACAACACTCTGTTCTCATCGATACTTAATTCCTTTCTTCTGGTCACTGTGGGCCCTAACTCTCAACATACTATACAACCCCGTTTCTCCACACTGAGCCTAGTCTAATCTATACCTCCTGCAGAAACTGTCCTCTTGAAAGAATTATCTGTTCATCATAGGACGGTGTACTAACAACCCTTACTCCTTTTAGTACTGTGACTACAAAAGACCTATCTGCAGGCTGGAGAGATGGCTCAGTGGTTAAGAGCACTGGCTGCTCTTGCAAAGGACCTGGCTTTGATTCTCAGCACCTACATGACAGGTTAACAACAGGCAGCCACAACTCCAGTTCCAGAGGATCCAATGCTCTCTTCTGGCCTCCACAGTCATTGCACACATGCGGTACGCTTACATCCATGCCACAGGCACAGGCACACACATACACAAAAGACAATTGCAAAATGATTAATCATCACCCTCAGATATCAAGGGACCCATACTGGGCTCTTATGGTCACCTAAGAAGAGTAAAGGAAGGCTTGCTTTGTTTTTCCATCCTTACTGGAGTAGTTTCCCAACAAATACATAGAGGAATAAATACCTCCTACCCATACTCTTTTGAACTCCATGTACTTGATGTCAACAGCTCACAAACACACACACACACACAATATGTGGCTATGACACTGGCTACAAAGTCATACCGAGTGTTGTGGTTTCAAGCATACCCAAGTCTCTGACATCTCTCTCCTTCCAAAAGTGGAGCTCAGTACCTCTTCACTTCAATGTGGGCTGGACTTAATGACTTTGTTCAGAATTTAAAGTGACAGCACATCACTTCAACTTCTTTGTCCAGAATTTAAAGTGACAGCACATCACTTTTATGACTAGGTCATAAAAGGCATTGTGGCTTTTCCTGACTCTTACAGTGCTGGCACAAGGGAAAGCTAGGAAATTATGTCTTGCCAGGAGCCACACCAGCCACATCATAAGTACTCCTCCCCAAAGAAAGAGATGTTTTTGTCTTTTTAAGGCAGGTCTCCCTGTAGCCCTTGGAACTCACTTTGCAGACCTCAGGCTAGCCTCAATTCCCCCTGCCTTTGTCTCCCAAGTGTTGGAAGTAAAGGTGTGCACAATCAGGCCTGGCAAAGCTCAGTCTTAACCTGTTAGTTTCTGGATTAACTTAATAGTACCTAGACATCTTGTGAACTGGGAAAATTAGCTGTGCTCAATTTCTAAACAGAAGCCACTACTGTTAAATATGAGCAGGCAGGATTACAGCAATTACACAAATCATGGAGATTACTTAGTAACTAATCTCTGTTGGTTCACAAACACTATAGGGGTATTCCTGAATCATTACCCCAGAGCCCTTCCCTCTTGGCTTCTGTTGTTGTTTCTGAGCTTCCAGGTTGCAGGAAGTTTTTTAAACTCCCAAGCTCCAACAGCTAGGTGTTTCACTCAGTAGTTGAGTGAATGAAGCATGAGGCCCTGGGTTTCATCCACAGAACAAAAAGAAAAATAATAAAAATAAAAGAGGGGACCTAATGTACCCCAGGTTCTCTCATCAATCATATTAGTAGAGAACTACATTTATTTTATATATATATTTTAGTTTTATGAGTGTATTGCCTGCATGTATGTGAGTGCACCCGTGTCGTGCAATGCCTCGGAGGTCAGAAGAGGGCTTCAGATTCCCCTGGAACAGGAGAGTTAAGGACAGTTCGTAGCCTCCATGTGGGTGCTGGGAATTGAACCTGGGCCCTCTGCAAGAGTAAGTCAGTGCTCTTAACTGCTGAGTCATCTCTCCAGCCCTGAGAACAACTATAAAAACAATCTAGTAACCATAACCTTTCAGTTTTGTTTGCTTTTTTGGAGACAGGGTCTCCCTGTAGCCCCAGCTGTCCCGGAACTTACAGACCAGGCTGGCCTTGAACTCAGAGATCCGCCTGCCTCTTCCTAGGATTAAAGGCATGGGCCACCATGCCCATATGCTTTTTTTTTTTTTAAAAATATTTATTTTTATTTTATGTGTATGCGTGTATTGCCTACATGTATTGTGCACATGTAGGTAAGTGCACTCGTGTCATGCAGTGCCCACAGGACAGAAGAGGCTGTTGGATCCCCTGAAACTGGAGTTATGGACAGCTGTTAGCTGCCATGTGGGTGCTGGGATTCAAACCTGGGTCTTCTGCAAGAACACTCTGTGTTCTTGACCACCGAGCCATCTCTCTGGCCCCCTTATTTTAGTTTTTTTGAGACAGGGTCTTACACTGTAGTCCAGGCTAACTATGAACAGGTAATCCTCCTGCCTCAGTGTCCCAAGTGCTAGGATTATAGACATAGGCCAGCATATACAAATACACCCTCACCATATCTCTTAGGATTGTATAATTTTCTCCTTGTACATTAGTGAATAGGCAAGCAGTCTATCACCCAGAGCTACATCCATCCCTTTTCCCCTTAGAGACAAGACAAGGTCTGACTATGTAGGCCGAGCTGGCCTCAAAACTTGCTATCCTATTTCAGCCTCCCAAGCAGCTAGGATTACAGACATGTACTACCACCTCAGCTGGCCCAAGAAGCATTTTTGTTCTTTTGGTCTTTTTGAGACAGGGTCTCTCTATAGCCCCAGCTAGCCTGGAACTTGTTTTGTGACCAGGCTAGCCTCAAAATCAGAGATCCACCCTCCTGCCTCTGCCTCCCAAGTACTGGGATTAAAACCCAAGAAGTACTTTTCAAGGCATCTTTTACTTTCATTTCTTCCTCAGCCCACCTCTGAACAAAACTGAGTTTATAAACTATTTCTTACCTGCAGCGGTCTCCATAAATACAGTGCCCTCTTTGAAAATACTTGCACACTACACCATACGGACTGTCAGAGAGGTCATGTGAGTAGCGACAGTTTTCACCTTCCTTACAAACCCCATGCATAAAATACCTGTAAGACATAAGACAAAGGACCATAAAACTAGATTAGAAGACTAAAGCCAATTCTCAAAGAATTCATTATTAATTCATTCTTGGTAGTACACTGACATAGCAAGCGAGCAGTCAATGACCCCAGACTGTATGGCCAAGATGATCCATTAGGTATTATGACAGGCAGAACAACACAGATACACCTCCAGAAAGAAGATATGAGGTGGTTTTTTTTTTGAGGGGGGGGCTGAACAGAGAGCCTCAAGCACTATACCACTGAGTTGTATCCCCAGGCCCCCAACCTAAAGACTTTAAGTATTCATCTTGCCCCAGCAGGTCAACTCTGATGGCTGGCTGTCCTCATTTTATAGTCCTAGAGCAGCAGCTTCTAATTCTCCACTAACTTGAGCCACTAACTACGGCTCTATCTGCAAAGCAAATCAAAGATAAGAAACCATTCAGCCTAGAAAGGATGCTGTTTGTGTTTGACTATCAAGGAAACAATAAAAGCCACATATGAAAACAAGCAAAATTAGGCCAGCAAACTTAAAAGATTACGGGAGACACGAGTAATAGTTTCCAAACACCAAGAACAGAAACACAATCCAGTTTTCTAAGGCCTGACCTGGACCAACAGAGCAACACCATCACCTGGCTGCTAGACAAAGTAAACTGAAGACCCCACCGGGGGCCTATTAAATCAGAACCTGGGAGCTGGAGAAGATGGCTCAGTGGTTAAGAGCACTAATGGCTCTTGCAGAGGAGCCATATTCAGTTCCCAGCAACCACATGGCAGCTAACAAATGTAAACTCTAGATCCAGGAGATCTGACTCCCTTTTTCTAGCCTCAGATGGCACAGCACACAGGGGTGCACTTAGATATGCAGGCAAATACTTATACACATAAAACAATAGAAATAGGGGGCTGGAAGCTGGGCATGGTGGCATATGCCTTTAATCCCAGTAGTTGGGAAGCAGAGGCAGACAGATCTCTGTGAGTTCAAGGCCAGCCTGGTCTACATAGTTCCAGGACAGCTGGGGCTACAGGGAGACCCTGTCTCAAAAAGACCAAAAAAAGAAAAAAAAAGAAGGGAAAAAAAAATAAGAAATAGGGGCTGGAGAGATGACTCAGCAGTTAAGCAAAAATTAGGGGCTGGAGAGATGGCTCTTGCAGAGGACCTAGGTTTGATTCCCAGCACCCACACAGTGGCTACGAACCGTCCGTAACTCCATTTCCAGGGGAATCTGAAGCCCTCTTCTGATCTCCGTGGCACTGCATGACACAGGTGCACTCACATACATACAGGCAACACACTCATACACATAAAATAAAAATAATAAATATTTTTTAAAAAAACAAGAATTAGGGCCGGGTGTGGTGGTGCATGCCTTTAATCCCAGCACTTGGGAGGCAGAGGCAGGCGGATCTCTGTGAGTTCAAGGCCAGCCTGGTCTACACAGTGAGTTCCAGGCCAGCTGGGGCTACAGGGAGACCCTGTCTCAAAAAGATTTAAAAAAAAAAAAATTAAAGAAAAAGAAAAAAGCTGCCTGGGGCTGGAGATATTGCTCAATGGTTAAAGTACTGGCTACCCTTGAAGGATTCAGGTTCACTTCCCAGCACCAACACAGTGGCTAACAACCATCTAACTCTGGTTCCAGGGCTCCCAACACCTTCTTCTGGCCCCTGTGGGCACTGTATACACATCACACACATATGCAGGTAAAATACTCATGTCTAAAAAAAGAAAAAAAGAAAAAGCTGGGGCTGGAGAGATGGCTCAGCAGTTAAGAGCACTGACTGCTCTTGTAGAGGACCCAGATTTGATTCCCAGCACCCACATGGTAGATAAGCACTGTCCTTAACTCTAGTACCAGAGGAATCTGAAGCCCTTGGCATTGCAGGACACAGGTGCACTCACATACATGCAGGCAATACACTCATGCACATAAAAAATAAAATAAAAATAGTAAATAAAATACTTTGTAAAATAATAAATAAAATAAAAATACATTAAACTTTTTTTCCCCACAAAACAGGCCAGGCATGGTGGCGCATGGTTTTAGTCCTAGCACTTGGGCAGCAGAGGCAGGTGGATCTCTGTGAGTTCAAGTTCAGCCTGGTCTACATAGCGAGTTCCAGGCAAGCTGGGGCTACAGGGAGACCTTGTCTCAAAAAGACCAAAAAATTTTTTTCTATTTTCTTAGTATATACTTATCAATGCTTTGTCTGAATGTATGTAGTGCTTGGGGAAGCGAGAAGAGGGCATAGGATCTTCTGGAACTGGAGTTCCAATGGTTGTGAGCTGCCCTGAACTGCCCGCCTTCTTATGGGTGCTGGGAACCAAACCTGAGTCTCCTCTGTTAAGACCAGCAAGTGCTCTTAACCACTGAGCCATCTCTCCAACCCAGGAGATCCTGTCTTAAAACAAGGGTCAGCAAGACAGCTCATTTGGGTAAAGGTACTGTCAAGCAAGCCTGATGACTTCAGTTTGATCCCTGGGACCCCTTGGGAGGGAGAAGTAGAACTCAGCCTGGTCTACATAGGGATTTCTAGGCTACCTGGGTGACAGAGGAAAAAGTGGTTTCTAGGGGTCCAAGAGAACCAAACAAAACCTTCATAGCATCTCTAGGCATCACAACCTAAGATTTCTAGAAATTAGCAAATCACTTGATCACTCCACCTGCTGTAGTATTTCTTGCTTTGATGCCTATGTCTGTTTTTCTTAAACGGGGCTCTCACTATTTTCCACAACCTGGTCCTAAACATCTGGGCTTACGTGATCCTCCCTGCCTTGGCCTTCCAAGTGATGGCAATACAGGTATGCGACCCCATATCTGATAATTTAAGTTTTATTTATTCTTTGAGAATTTCATACGTGTATATAATGTATCTTGATTGATCATCTCCCCCAATACTTGATGTGGTCATTTGAATGAGAATGTCCTCCATGGGGGGTTCCAAGTATCTAGACACTTAGTCCCCAGTTAATGGTGCTATTTGGGGAAGATCACAGAACCTTTAGGAGGTATGGTCATGCCTGAGGAAGCCATGTCACTGGAGGTGGGTTTTTAGAGTTGAAAACCATTCCCCCGCTCCTAGTCTGTCTCTCTCTGCCTGCTTGAAGTTGTGAAGGCTCAGCTTTCTGCTTAGGCCACTTCCTGCCACCATGTCTCCCTGCCATTATAGACTCTTACCCTCTAGAATCATAAGCTAAATAATTCTTCCTTCTATTAAGTCTCCTTGGTCATATCATTTTATCACAGCAACAGAAATGTAACTAATACACTTAATTTTTGATAAGCACTATACATTATATACCCTAGGCTATAGAGGTGGATTAATGGTGAAGGGCACATACAATTCTTCTAGAGGACTAGAGTTCAATTCACAGCACCCATGTGGGGTAGCTCACAACTGCCCAGAGAACTGAAAAAAAAAAAAAAAGCCAGGTGTGCCTTCCATTTATAATCCTACTAACATTAGTTTAAGGCTAACATGGGCTACAATACTGAGGCCTGTCCTGGACTCCCTCCAAAAAGATCCCTACCATATAATTCCCAAACAATAAATTTCACTATGGACAGACATCATAGTAGTTGAATAAAGCATTTCTAGGATTTCTTCCTTTTAAAGATATACTGGAGGGGCTGGAGAGATGGCCCAGCGGTTAAAAACACTGGTGGTTCTTGCAAAAGACCCTGATTCGAATCCCAGCACCCACATGGCAGCTAGCAACTGTCCGTAACTCCAGTCCCAGGGGATCCAGCAGCCTCTTCTGACCTCCACGGGCATTGCACTTATCTACATGCAGGCAATATTCGCATATGCATAAAATAAAAATAGCCAGGCGTGGTGGCACACGCCTTTAATCCCAGCACTTGGGAGGCAGAGGCAGGCTGGTTTACACAGTGAGTTCCAGGACAGCTGGGGCTACAGGGAGACCCTGTCTCAAAAACAAAAAAGACATACTGGGGGAGACTAGATGGCTCAGCAGTTAAGAGCACATGTCATTCTGAGGTCTGGAGTTTTATTCCCAGCACCCACACTGTGGGCTCACAACCATCCTTAACTCTAGTTCCAGGAGACCAGTCTTTGAGGGCACAGGGATGCAATGTAGTCCATACAAACATGCATGAATACATGTAGGTAAAACACTCATACCCATAAAATAAAAATAACTGGCTGGGGGTGGTGGCGCACGCCAGGAGGCAGAGGCAGGCGAATCTCTGTGAGTTCAAGGCCAGCCTGGTCTATGTAGTAAGTTCCAGGACAGCTGGGGGCTACAGGGAGACCCTTTCTCAAAAAGAAAAAAAAAAAAAAAAAAACCCTTTTCTATGTTTGTTTTGCCTATATGTCTGGGTATGTAAGTGCATCAATCATGCAATGCAGCACAGGCCAGAAGACAGCGTTGGACCCCATGGAACTGGCATTACCAACCGTTTCTAGCCACCATGTAGGTGCTGGGAACCTGCAAGAACAGCCACATACTCTTAACTATTGAGCCATCTCACCATTCACATCTGGCAAAAAAAAAAAAAAAAAAAATAAGTAAAGGTAAACTGTGTCTCCAAAGCCATATTAATAACATTGAGAGAACTTGGGGCTAGGGAAATAGTTCAGTTGAAAGAGTGCCTACAGCACTGCATAAAACAAGTATGGTTGGCACATGTCTATAATCCTAGCACTAAGGAGATGGAGACAGGAGGGATCATAGGTTTAAAATCATCTTCGGTCTAAATTAATGTAATATCCTGGCTCAAAAGAAAAGTTGAAACTTTCAGCATAGGGGTTGGAGAGGTGGCTCAGCAGCTAAGAGCACTGGCTCCTCTTGTAGAGTCCCATTTTGGTTCTCAGCACACACGGAGGCTAACAACCATCTGTAACTCCAGTTCCAGGGGATCCCAGCACCCTCTTCTGAGGGCACTGCATGACACAGGTATATATATATATACACACACACACACACACACAGAGGTAACATACTCATACACTTTAAAAAAAACAAAAAACAAAAAACAAACAAAAAAAAACTTTCAGCATCTAGGCAGGCTTGGTAGCTCATTCCTGTAATCCTAAACTTGGGAGGGTAGAGTATCAGTCTAAAGATCAGGCATTTAAGTCTAGCCTCATTTACATGAGACCCTGTCTCAAAAAAAATAAAATGAAAATTAAATAATACAACTCACTGTGTAGACCAGGTTGGCCTAGAACTCAGAGATCTGCCTGCCTCTGCCTCCCGAGTGCTGAAATTAAAGGCATGCGCCACCATGCCCAGCCCATAACAGAGTCTTTATGTGTTATTTCACTTGCCAGAAGATCTACTATTGTAGCACTCCAACAAAGCAGTGTATAATTTAACATTACGGTTTGCACATTACAAGTTTTCCTTTCTTCTTTTTTTTTTGGTCTTTTCTGAGACAGGGTCTCCCTGTAGCCCAGCTGTCCTTGAACTCAGAGATCTGCCAGCCTCTGCCTCCCAAGTGCTGGGACTACAGGCGTGCGCCACCACACCTGGCTACAAGTTTTCTTAAAATATTAACTGTTTTAACTCTCACACCCAAGGCAACTAGCAGCAAGGATTCTGACTTCATAGCCTTGCTCTAATGAGGAAGAAAACCAGCCTCATGGTGGCAGCATAACAGCTTCTCAGCACAGAATTTCTTGGGCTTTTCTTTACCCTGCAGAAATAAAACACAGTAAGAATTTCCAAGAGAAGTTTTAAAAATATAATAAGAAAATCATGGTTTTGAGTAACTAAAATTGAACACTCCTATGCCTGGTGTGGTTGTGCATGTCTTTAATCCCAACACTCAGGAGGTTTAGGCAGGTGGATCTGCAAGATAGAGGGGCCAGTCTGGTTGATAGTGTACATGGTGACTTCCAGGCCAGCTGAGGCTATAGACACCCCATCTCAAAAAAATAAAAACCTCGGGGCTGGAGAGATGGTTCCTGGGTTAAGAGCACTGACTGCTCCTGTAGAGGACCCAGGTTCAATTCCCAGCACCCACATGGCAGCCACGAACCATCCTTAACTCCAGCTCCAAGGGGGAATCCGAAGCCCTCTTCTGACCTTCGTGGCATTGCACAACACGGGTGCATTCACATACGTGCAAGCAATACACTCATACACATTAAAAAAAAAAAAAACGCAGACCAGGCCTGATGCCCCCCAACCCCCAAACAAACCACCACTCCAGCTGGGTGTAAGGTACACACCTTTAATCCCAGCACTCCAGGAGAGGGAGATGGATCTTGGAGGTGAAAGCCAGCTTGTTCTACATAAGGAGTTTCAGGCCAGCCCGAGCACATACACAGTAAAACCATGTCTCAAAGAGAGGTAAGATAGCTCACTGGATAAAGGTGGGAAGAGAGGACTGACTCCCCTACATTGTCCTCTGGTCTCCACATGTACCAGAACACAAGTATACAAGAACATAGCCACCCCACCACTAAATAAATGAATGCAATTAAAAAAAAAGTTTTAATCCTTATCCAAAGGACTGTAAAGAGGGCTATGTCCTAAGTATAAAATACTCTCGGGGCTGGAGAGATGGCTCAGTGGTTAAGAACACTGAGTATTCTTGCAGATGACCCAGGTTCAAATCCCAGCATCCACATGGCAGCTAATAACTGTCCATAACTCCAGTTCCAGGAGATCTGACAGTCTCTTCTGTTCTTCGAGGGCACAAGGGTGCACTTACCTACATCCAGGCAATACACACATACACATAAAAAAAAAATATTTTTTTTTTAAAAAAAGAATATTCTCATTAAAATTTCCTGATACAGAAGTGATCTGTTAAAGGAAAAAGCATAAACACTAGAAAATTCTCTTCAAGGGGCTTCAAACACATTGAAAATACAATATGGTACATGCCTGCCATTGATCAGCTGGGCATCTGTATAGTACACACTGCTTATTTATATAAAAGGAAAATAAGAGGGTCCCAAAGAGTTACCTGTTTCTTACTATTTCAAGTGAGCCCTTTGTCTTGGGCAATTTACAAGTCTCATTTCTTTTTCAATGACAGCAGAGGAATCTTACAAATTCATATTAGGATAGATTATTTTACTTACAATTCTATCAACATCAACTGGAGCATTTACTAGTACCTGGTCTATGTCCTGAGAAATGCCCTGCAGGGATTGTAAAATAAAACTCTGTTCCTCTCATAAAGCTCAAAGTCTAGAACAATAATTCTAGAACTGGAGCTCATCCTGCGTGCTTCTAATGGGCTGCTGGGGGGATCTGAATTCAAGACTTCATGCTTGAACAGCAATCTTTTTACACACTGAGCCATCTCTCCAGACGCCCAAATAAATTTAAGACATAAACGTACTGGTTCACAGGAAAGAATTTCCACCGCTCCAGAGAACATCTAGAAAATTCCCTTAACTCCAACCCTAAAGGGAGCTGGGGGCAGCCCAAGCCTGTAATCCCAACACTTAAGAGAATACTGGATAGGATCAGGCTAAGGCCATCCTTGGCTACAAATGGAGTTTAAGGTCACCCTGTGCTATGTTAGACCCAATCTCAAAAAAGAAAAGACCCTAAAGACAGGCAAGAAGTAATCAGAGAAATAAGAGTCAGGCACATTAAAGAGGAACTTAGAAAAGGAGAACCGGAAAAGAGGGAGCCAGGCATGCCTGTAATCTCAGTACTTGAGGTAGTGGCAGAATGATGTAGGAGTCCCAGGCCAGTCTAGGCTCAATGGGCTTGCTTTTACACACACACACACACACACACACACACACACACACACACACACCCCGATAAAAAGGGAGGCAAAAGGGCTCAGATGTAAAAGCACTGGTTACGCAAGGCTGGCAACCTACGTTAGAGCCCCAGAATCCAGGTATAGATGGGAGAAGAACAATAATTCCAAAACTATCTTCAGATCTCTGCTGTGCAACCCTGATTCCCCCACCATTATGCTTGTTTGTTTTTTTTTTTTTTAAAAAAGGAAATGGTTGAAAGCAGCAACTGTATGTAGAGGAGAGGCTGGGTGTAGTGCCCCATGCCTTTAATCCCAGCACTCGGGAGGAAGAGGCAGGCAGATCTTTCTGAGTTCCTGGCCCATCCAAGTCTACATAGCCAGTTCCAGGACAGCTGGGAATATACGGACTACAGGGAGACACTGTCTCAAAAAGAAAAAAAAAGACAAAACCCACAACTGTATGTAGAAATATAAAGCTCGGCAGGTTGACAGGCACAGCAGGATAAATAGGTTAAGTATTGAAATGTTGGTGTTGGATATACAGGACCAGATTCAGGTTCAAGATGGTGGATTTAAAAAAAAAAAATAACCAAGGTATCTTATGAAGCTCTTTAAAAGTTCACCTATTATCCCTGTCTGGTGGTGAATGCCTTTAAACCCAACACTCTATGAGACAGAGGGATCAAAGCAAGTTCTAAACCAGCCACAGATATGTGAAAAATAAAAATGGAAAAATAAAAAGCGTTTTAATCTGGGCCAAGAAGTGATTGTGCACCAGAGGCAGGTGGATCAGTGAGCTGGAGGCCAGCCTGGTCTACGTAGACTTCCAAGCCAGGCTAGCCAAGGCTATATACAGTAAGACCCTGTCTCAAACTCCCGTACCCACCCACCCCTCAAAAAGCTTTAAAGGGTTGGGATTTCTTCAATTCCGAAGTTAATACAGCAGAGTTCTGCATTAGGCTAATATTTTTACGTATTTGCATATAAACCGTCCTGTCCATCTCACATGAAAACCGACTTTTCCTTTGCATTTTTTTAACCGACAGAAAACTTGACAGTCGCTACTGATGATTTAATTAATATACTCGGGCGTGGTGCCGCATACCTGCAAATCCCAGCATTAGGGAGACTGCTGAAAATTCTACAACTGTGTGGACTATATGTCAACCAGGGATATCTCAAAATTAAAAAAAAAAACAAAAAAAAACCCACACACACAAAACACCCCCCGCCCAACATCGTTAATACAACAAATACCTCTGATGCTTACTGCTGGAAAAAATATTTTACATGCGTATTAGATAACCGCCATCCGATCATTTTTTTCCAAATTCCCTCTTGCTTACCAAACCAGAATCAAACCTCACACTCCTCAGCTCTCCTTTACGTTAAGTAGGTCAAGTGAAATAGGAACACCGCACACGGAGGCAGTGATAATGGCAGTTAATAATAATAATAAAAAAAAGAAAGAATGAAAAGAAAAACAAATTCAAGGGTGGAGGTGACAAGCCCCGACTCGGAACGCTGGGTTCAGAGACAAAGCTCGGAACCGCCACATACAAAAGACATACAAAAGCAGCGAATCCCTGCGGGGCGGGGGTGCGCGGCGCCGAGGCGAGAAAAGACGTTACAAACGGACGGCCGGGAGCCAAGGCACAGGGACCCTCGCTCCGCGGGTCTCAAGCCGCCCAGGGGGTCGTTGGAAACGGACTGACTGCGCCAGGCTCGCGCCGCATCCCCGAAGCATGAGTGATAAGAGGCCGGAGAAGGGACGCCCACCCTCACCCACAGGCACCGTAGCCGGCAGGGGAGGAGCCGGGGCCGTCGCGCTGGGCTCCGGGGACTGGAGGTGGCGATCGCGCGCCCGCCGCCTCGCTGGCCGGGCGGGGGGTTGACGCGGCGCTGCGGACGGCGAGGATGCCCGCGACGCCCGCCGCCGCCTCCTCCTCCCGCAGCCCCCGCCCTCCGCCCGACCACGCAACGTCCTACCTGCAGGTGACCTGTTTCGTCCAGCCGCCGCCACTGCCGTCGCTCCCTCCTCCCGCCCCCGGAGACAGGGCAGGGACTGTGGGGAGAGGGGTGAGGGAGGCCGCTGCCACCGCCGCCGCTGCCGCTCCTGCTCCTGATGTTGTGGCTGTTGTTCCGGGAGCCGCAGCCTCCGCCATTACTGTTTATCCCACACAGCAATGGCCCCGGAACTTCCGGGATCACATAGTTCCGGTCCGGCTGAGAAGGATAAGGCGGCGAAGGGAGGGGAGGGGAGGGGAGGGGAGGGGAGGGGAGGGGAGGGGAGGGGAGGGGAGGGGAGGGGAGGGGAGGGGAGGGGAGGGGAGGGGAGGGGAGGGGAGGGGAGGGGAGGGGAGGGGAGGGGAGGGGAGGGGAGGGGAGGGGAGGGGAGGGGAGGGGAGGGGAGGGGAGGGGAGGGGAGGGGAGGGGAGGGGAGGGGAGGGGAGGGGAGGGGAGGGGAGGGGAGGGGAGGGGAGGGGAGGGGAGGGGAGGGGAGGGGAGGGGAGGGGAGGGGAGGGGAGGGGAGGGGAGGGGAGGGGAGGGGAGGGGAGGGGAGGGGAGGGGAGGGGAGGGGAGGGAGGGAGGCTGAGGAGCCCAAGCGCTCCGCGTCGCCCCGCGTCGCGTCTCGGTGAGCTCTGGCCTCAGGAGCCTCAGGCTCCTCCGGCGCTCCCGAACCCGCCCCCGACGACACTGATTGGCCGAGCCGACGTGCGCGCCGAGAAGGAGGCGGGCCCATGCGGGCCCTGGCCAGGTGTGCTGAGATGCTGGGATCCGCCCTGCCAGAGGTCCCGCAGCAAAGGCCTCCTTCGTACTGCAGGCTGGAGGAAGCGTAGGCGGGGAGGGCCTGGGTGTGGGTTCGCGCTTTCCCGGGGTGAACTTGGGCTGGACACCTATTGTTGGAGTCCCAGTTTCCTCCTTTCTTCGTTGAGGGCAGTAGATCCTACCTTCCAGAGATTTTCGGCATCAAAATGGAGGTGTCCATCTGGCATTCTAAAAGTTCGAGACCAGGCTGGGCTGCATAGACTGTCGAAACACCAAAATATTAATGTAAATAATAACCAAGTAATCAGGTGAGGTAGGGTGCATTTGTAATCCCAGTGTTTCGGGAACCAAACCTTTACATGAGTTTTGAGGACCATTTTAGGTCCAAATAAACATACAGCCTCTTTATTATTTTAGGTTTTGTATGTGTCCTTTAAAAATTTTTGTATTCATGGACTGGAGAGATGGCTCAGTGGATAAGAGTACTGGCTGCTGTTGTGAAGTACCCAAGTTGGGTTCCCAGAACCCACGTGGCAGCTAACAAACGTCTAACTCCAGCTTCAAGGGACCTGACACCCTCATCTGACCACTGGCACTGCGTGACACAGGTGCACCTATCTACAGTCAGCCATTACACTCAAACACATAATAATAAATAAAAAATTTTTGTATTCATTTAAATGCCTAAAACCACCGATACTATCTCAAAAAATTAGGAAAAATATGATGTGTTTAATATATACATCACCTCACACAACTCTTTTGTATTTATTATACTCCTCATTTATACATTAGAGTCCTAAACATTCATCCTGCCTACCTAACTAGAACATTGTACCTTTTGACTAGGTCTCCCCTGTTAGGGTTCCAATAGCAGCCCCCCTCTCCCCAACAGGGACCTACAGACTTTGGAGCCTGGAAAAGGGAACTTAGCTGATAAGCACCTTGACCTTTGAGGTCAAGAAGGACAAACTCTGCTGAGAAGCAGCCTGCCTTTCCTCTGACCTCCAAAGATAAGATAAGCAGAGTTCCTCTTAAGAGGAAAAGAAGATACTTCCACACCCTAATCCTACCTGCTTCCCCCTCCCTGATTTCTCCCCCAAACACCCCCCTTCCACACCCTAAAGCCCCCATATGTAAAGTCCCAGCTCATAACCTGTGAGCTGACATCTTTTCCTTCCCGAGGGAAAGGTGCCCCTTGCGAAATAGATCTGTGTCCCACTGAGAATTCCATCTGTGTCTCCATGTCTTCATCCAACCGCTCGTGCTCGTGCCGCTCGCTCCCGCCCATTCTCTACCTATCATCCCCACTTCCTGTCCTCTACCAATGGTAGTTCTATTGACTCTGCATTTCTTTTTTATTTACTATATTTATTTATTTATTTGGTCTTTTTGAGACAGGGTTTCCTTGTAGCCCCAGCTGTCCTGGAACTCACTATGTAAACCAGGGTGGCCTTAAACTCAACTGCCTCCCGAGTCCTGGGATTAAACGCGTGCACCACCAGGCCCGACTACATTTCTTTTTTTATTATTTTTATTTATTTATTTTTTTGAGACAGGATCTCCCTGTAGCCCCAGCTGGCCTGGAACTCCCTATGTAGACCAGGCTAGTCTCAAACTCATAAAGATCTGCTCGCCTCTGCCTCCCAAGTGCTGGGATCAAAGGTGTGCGCCACCATGCCCGGCCATATTTCATTTATTAAAATCCTTTGTCTTCCTTGTATGTCTGAAGGCGAGCAGGTCTAATGGAGTCATTCTTGAAAACTTGACCAGAGTTCCCCATGTGCTCAAACCATCGTGGTCTGATCCAGAAATAATGGCTGAACATGTGCCAGCATGCAAAAAGGTCATTAATTTAGACTACGTGACCGTTCAAGATCTACCCAGTGAAAGAGATCATGTTAGTCTTTGCACATAAAAACAGAAAAAATTTAAGGCTTCGATTTAAAAATAAATCCCACAAATAAATGAGACCATGAAATGTTTTTCTTAGTATCTGGATTGCCCCAGTTAACACACTGCAGATTCCTCCATGTTGTCACAAATGGAAGGATCTTTTTTATTTTGTTTTGCTACCATGGGGAACCAAATAAAGACCTCGTAGCCGGAAATTGCGCATTCCTTTAGTCCCAGCACTCTAGAGCAGAGGCAGATGGAACTGTGAGCTCCTGGCCACCCTGATTTACATAGTGAGCAGTGCCTAGTGAGTTCCAGACCACTGGGGCTACAGGGAGACCCGGTCTCAAGAACAGCAATAAATATGTAAATAAAAAATAAAGACCTCTTACATTCTAAGTAGGTGCTCTACTAAGGACCCTCCCCCATTTGTAACCCGCAGGGCAAAAATTAAAATGTTCTAAAGAGACACTTCTGTCCCTCAAGCTGACTATCCAACTGTTGAAACAATGGACCTCAAAGAAATGGAAATTTACCCAGGAATCTCATGCTGAGCAAGGGAAAAGGCACCCAGCAGAGGGGGAACTTGTCTCCTGGAAAGAGATTTCACACAGTTTGAACCACTTGTCAGACCACTTTACTGGCAAAGACTGAGCCCAGACAATGACGGGTCATTGGTGAACAGGACCACACTTTGACCCAGACCGTTTAGATATGCATTTTCCTAGCCTTATATTTAAACTTTAATCTCATTTCAGGACCCCTAACAAGGACTGGAGAGTGTCACTGGATCTTTTGGTCCCATTTCCCAATGTGGCCACATTTTCCCTGTTAATTTTACTGTTTTAACTGGTTTCTCAAGGAAGTGATGGAACTTCTTGGAAATGCAAAATGTCCCCCTGCCAAGCCCCCCAAGTTTGGGAACACATTCGCTACATAACATCCTCTCCCTCTTTTTTTTTTTTTTTTTTTTTTTGTCTTTTTAGTTGTCCTAGAACTCACGACGTAGACCAGGCTGGCCTCAAACTCACAAAGATCTGCCTGCCTCTGTCTCCCAAGTGGTGCTGGGATTAAAGGTGTGCGTCACCACGCCAGGCTCCTCACTCTTTTATTAGCTACATTCTAGTATAGACCAGGCTGATCTGGAACTTGATCTTTAAGCAAGGATGACCTTGAACTGATCTTCCTGCCTTTGTCCACCACCCACAGGTTGATATTTCAGCCTTCCATCTCTATGCCAACATATTTAATTTTATTTCTCCATCAATGCCCACCACCCATTCTCACTCAGCACAAAAAACTGAACTTCTACCCAGTTACATAAGCCTTTCACATGTGTACTTTTACCTTAAGAAATAAAAATCAGCCCATCAGACCAGGATGTCCTTAACAGGGACAGTGGGGGAAGAGGGGTACAAAACCAACAGAAAAGAAACTTCTCCCCTCAAGGCCACAGTATAGCAGCACAATACACACACATGCACGCATGCACACATGCCTTCAACTACTTACTCTTTGCACTAATGAATTCCCCTGCCCAGCTCCATTTCTCCTGCTTTTCAAGAATAGTCTGCTAAGGTACCAGTTCCCAAACTGCCCTCAGTTTACTCCCACAAGCACTCAATCCAAGGCTGCTCTCCTCAGGTTCCCTCCTCTGAATCATTCAGACTATTGCTGGGGAAACTAAAGTTTCCTTTAGAGGTTCTCAGTATCATTAATGAAAGAATTTAAGGGGGCTGGAGAGATGGCTCAGTGGTTAAGAGCTCTGGCTGCTCTTGCAGAGAACCCAGGTTTGATGGAGGCTAACTCCAGTTCCAGGGGATCCAACCCCTCTTCGACCTCTTGTTTTGTTTTGCTATGAGAGAAAACCAAATAAAGACCTCAGAGCCCAGCATGACATATTCCTTTAGTCCCAGCACTCCAGAGGCATGTGTATTGTCATGATGTTTTTAATTTTTTTTTGTTTTTTAGTTGTTTTTGTTTGTTTGTTTGTTTAAATTAGAGTTTGGTTTTGGGTTTTTGTTTTTTTTGTTTTTTTTGTTTTTTTTTTTTGAAGCAGTGTCTCCCTGTAGCCCCAGATATCCTGGAACTCACTAT